GTTTATCTTTTTTCATGTAAAATTTTTATTTTTCGAGTAATGCAAATATTTACTCATTTGATTTAGATACTAATATACCTTCATGTAAAATTTCCTTTCACGTGTAACATAAATATTTATTTATATAATCTAGATATTATTGGGCATAGAATTTATATTTCTTGCTATGCAAATATTTATGCTATAATTTGGATATTAATGTAATTTATATTATAAAGTTTTCATCCTTTATAATCAAATATTTATTCATATTATTTATATATTAATACACTTCATCTAAAATCTTCATCAGTATGTGATGTAAATATTTATCTATGTGATTTAGATATTAATATGATTTTGAATAAAGTTTTTCATTCGCAGTGTGTGATGCAAATATTTGCCCTTGCAATTCGATATTATAATACGCTTCTGTGCAAAGTTTTCATCCTCATTTTATGTATATATATTTAGCCGTAATTTAGATATAAATACGTTTTCATGTAAAGCTTCCATCTTAATTTGTGATACAAATACTTATCCTATGATTTAATTATTAATACAATTTATCTAAAGTTTTCATTCATTTGTTATGGAAATATTTTTCCCCTGAAAATCATATTTTAATACACTTCGGAGTAAAGTTTTCATTCTCATGTGATTGAAACAAAAATTTACACCTGCAATTTAGATATTAAATGCTTTCATGTAAAAGTTTCATCTTAATACAATGCAAATATTTACACATGCAATTAGGGATGGCAAAGTGGGCACCCCGCCGGCCAAAAAATGAGTCAGTCTGCCCCGCTTTTGAAAGTGGGCTGAAAAAATCAGTCTGTTCCGTCCCGTTTGGCGGGTTGGTCCGCCATCCCGAGCTTATTTTACACTGACCTGCCTCGGCTCACCTATGTCCGCCATCAACCCGCCAAAAAATGAGTCTGCTCCGCTTTTCAGATGGGTTGAAAAATTCAGCCCATCCCACCCCGTTTAGCGGGTGGGGCGGGTTGGCCCGCCAAGCCGAGCTCGTTTTGCCATCTCTACATGCAATTTAGATATAAAATGCTTTCATGAAAATAAAATTACCTTAATACGAGGCAAATATTTACCTTTCTGATTTAAATATAATACATTTTCGGTATTCAAAAAAAAAAATATAATACATTTTCATAAAAAGTTTTCATTTTCATGTAATTGATGAAATATTTACCCATGTGATTTAGATATTAACAGGATTTCATATAAAAATATTTGTCCCTAGCTAAATCTCAAGGGGTGGTACAACTGATAAGTGAATTGTGCCTAAGGGAGATGGAAGGGCTCTCGTGTGAAGGGGCGTGTTGAGATATATAATCTCACATTTGTAAAGAATCTTGGGATACACCACCCTAAAAGCTAGCTCAAAAGGTGGGAGTGCCCAAGGCCTTATAAACTCCACATTAGTTGCTCATACAACCAAGATGGGATTATATATCTCAACACGCTCCCTCACACGAGAGCTCATTGGGCTTGAAGAGTGGATGATGCAACAGGCCCAACCTACCTGTGCTAAAAAATTCCACAAGAGAAAGTAGGGGGCGGCGTGGCTCAGATACATGTAAAGAACCTTGGGATACATTATCCCAAAAGCTAGCTCAATGGATGAGAGTGCCCAAGCCGTTATAAACTCCACATTAGTTGCTCATACAACCAATGTGAGATTATATATCTCAACACATGAAATTGTTTTCATCACCATATAATGTATATATTTTGTGGAGATTTAAATATTAATATACTTTCATATAAAAAATTTATTAACATATAATAAAAAAATTTCTTGCTATGATTTAAAGATTAATACTCTTTCCCTTTAATTTAGAGGAAATACGATTTAATGTTATTGTAACATCACTCGTGATGTTCACTTTACTCGTTATGTTCACTTTACTCGTTACGTGAATAATGTGGCCTAACACGTAACAAGTTGTTTAACTCGTTTTGATCCGATATTTAATATGACCATGGGCTCATTATCTAATGGCTCACGAAAACAATATGCCCGTGATTGCGGGTGCGACTATGGGCTGGGTTGCGTAGCCGTACAGGTATCTGTGTGACTTTTAAGTTGCTTTAGTGCAACAAAGTTATGGGTCTAAGTTTGATAATAAAGTTACGGGTCTTAATAATAAGTTATAGCTAGCTGATTTAAAATCAACCTATGCAAGAGAACCTAGCTAGCTGCGCAACCTAAGCAGAATAATAAGTTAAAGTGCCGATTAAAAATAAGTTAAAATGCAAGAGACTCCCTTTAAATTTAAGTCAATCATAGAAAATTTATGTGCTTCAAAATCTAGCAATTCAACTATTTGAATTTATTAAACTATATAGAATAATATAAATTTAACTTCTCCGTTAGAAACCTTGTAGTGAGAGTCAATTTCGAAAAAAAGATTTGTTATCAATTAACTTAAGTTGTAGTACTACTGCCTTGCACCCTAGACACTAATTCTAAAAATACATACAAAAGGTTGGGCTTTAATATTTGATATGGACCCTCTCAGGCCCGGAACCATAGGCCCAACACAGAAAGGCCCAGTTAACATTATTTAATCGGAAAGAAAAATACATCTCATTTGAAGTATCGGCATAAACCTGTTGATCTCCAAGGCTACAAATGACGCTATTGACTGTCATGGGTAGGCATGTTTGAAAGATTAGGAAATATGAAATATCACATTCATATAAGATCTTAGTACCATTGATATTCGTTTCTCAGTATTAATCCATTATTTTCACTTGCATTGAATTCTTGCATCACCATATCAAAAACTCGTCATTTACATTAATTCGCAGGGCTCAATCGTGTGTGATCTAGCCCAATATTTATTGGACTGATCAATATTAGTATAAGGAAAATAGATATGTTAAATTTTTGATAAACTTGTGAAGTACAATTTTTATAATTACCTATATTTTTAAAGACATTAAATGTTGGGGCCAAATAAATAGATGAAATGTAATTTAAAGTAAATAATTTAGAAAAATAAATCAAGACCAACATCAACACAATTGACAAGACTCTTGACATGGAAAATTCAATATTGAAGAAAAACAAGAAACCTATTTAGATTAGAACTCATTTTCATAAAATTTTACCATTGGATTCACTAAAGAATGTTTTCTTTCTTTTTCTCTCTCTTTCCTCTATTTTTTCTTTTTAAATTCTTGCTTCATTCAAAATGAAGCATTAGGACAACTGAAAATAATGGCATGGGCCCAAGAATGGGTCACGCACCCAACATTAAATTGGCGATCCAATCAAATTAAAAGGGCCATGTATTAAAGTTTTTGTTTTTTTAATTTCTATTTACATGACATAGTCTGTTAGGTAAAGCTTGTGTTCTTTGGAATTGCTACAACAAGCTTTTTGTTAAGTGTAAAGAACCACTTCAACCCAAAACCTTAAGGTGTTGGGTGAGGGTCTTTTTAAATGATTTATCTAACACACTCCCTCGCGCAAGAGCCTTTTGGATTTGAAGCGTGGATATGGCACAAGCTCATTATTGGTCTGCCTTGTGCTGCACAAATCTATTTTTTTGGTCTGTCTTGTGCTTTTCGTAATTCCACCTGAAAGTGGGAGGCGGTGAGGATCGAACTCGTGACATCATGGTCACTTAAGCTCTGATACTATGTAAAAGAACCACTTCAACCCAAAACCTTAAGGTGTTGGGTGAGGGCCTTTTTAAATGATTTATATTATATTCTCTAACATTAAGAGTTAAAATATCCAATGCTTTGTTGGTAGAGACAAATCCACTCCGGTGATCTTTATGTCTCGAAGGAATTAGTCTTATGCTGACGATGGGGAGATATCCTGAGTTATACAAAAAATTAAATATATCAAATGCTGCAATGGGGTTTCATTTGATACAAACTGCTAGTTCCAATCAAACTTGTATCTTGATCCATTTCTTCATGACTTCCTGTGGCTGTTGTTGATGCAAGAATTAAAACGGGTCCAGTTGAACCTTATCTAAAGGGAAGCAAACCTGACAACACTCTACTTGGGGAGGATAGCACCTTTATATAACCTCAACTCTCAAGCACTGAAATCTGCATACCTTTTGAAAATTGGAATATGTTCCATTCGGTATTTTTTAGCATTCTAGTTGTTGATTAAATCTTTGGTACTACTGCTGTACCAAAGATTCAGTACATCTCACCAATAAAAATATTACACGTTAGTTAAAATTCTGTTTTTTCTGTCAGAATTTTTCTCTCTCCTCTGATGTGTAATGCTCTCATTGATGAGATGCACTGAATCTAGGTACAACAGTAGTACCAAAGATTTATTCCTGGTTGTTTAGCAAATGGTGATAGTTCAATTGGTGTATAGAAACTGAATAGGTAGTGAAAAGACCTCAGTTTGATCCCCACCAATACCATATTTGGGAGGGACATAAAATCTTAATCTCTAACCTGCTTGACACTCGAGATTAGTTTCATAAAACCGAAGTTATCTTAAAAAAAATTCTTCTTGTTTAATGAAGCTTGCTTTACCTGGGAAAATTCATTAATTAAATCTTTGTTTGAAAGAAAACAGAAACTAACTTTTATTTTTTCTATTTACTTTTTTTTGCTGGTTCTGAACATAAACTATGTTTAAAGTTGAAATCAGGATGCAGGCCAACATCGATTGCAAATTAGTAATGGTGACCAACCATGTTACACTTTCCAAGCTCAATCGTTCAAATGACATTTGGGAGGATGAATCATGCCTTAACATATTATTTATAACATCTAAATTTTACTAAGCTTAGTATAATCAACTGTTGTCATAGACATTTAAGTTTACCAGAATTGGTGACAAAAACAAGGCAAATGGTGTCAATTGCTAGATACCAAATTCAACATTTGTGAAAATACTTGTAACAAACCAATTATAATTAAATAATAAAACTATATAATTAAATACAAAAGTAATAAAGTATATATAAACGCGTGTTTAATGTTTCATAGAACCTAAGAATAGATAATTGCAGTCCAATTAAAAAGGAAATCAGAGACCATTATGAGCATAATTGTCAATGATTGGATTTACTTTGACTCTATGCCTGCATAATTCTCTTCTCCTCTGAATCAACAGAGAAAGGGAGCCTCTTACTGTAATATAACTTTTCAATACAATAATACAAAAACCATGCACTTAACAAACAAGAAAGTAAAATAAAAAAAAGAATCTAAATATGGTAAATTAGAGAAATGAAAAAAAATTCATTTCCTCTCATCTTCCCCTTTGAAGTGCTTTCGCTGCAGTGTCCACCTCTTCCAAAATCCTTGCCTTTCGTTTTGCAGGAATAGGAGCAGTTGGTCCAAAACTAATATAATGCCCCGAAACTGCATTGATTGCAGAGTAAATGTCCCTAAAGGAAGCCCTTCCTAGAAGTGCTTTCTCCCTTCTGTACTTTGCCACCCACGAGTTTGAGGTATCTCTTAACTCAGCCACCGCAGCAGCAACATTGGGGTCATTCTTGTCCATTGTTATTGCTGTCTTAACCTTGTTGATGACTTCCTCAGTGTCTTTTACATATTCTTCGTCTGCAGCAGCCAGTGCAGGGTTCAGAGGAACAAGCCATGTGCTAGAGACAACAGAGGCAGTGATTATGGACAAGAACTCACGGCGGCGTGGGAGTGTGGTTGTGTTAGTGTTAGTGTTAGTGTTAGCGGCGGGTGTGAGGGTGGCAGCAATGGTGGTGATTTTGGTTTTGATGGGTGGAAGTGATTTGGGTGTGGATGTTGGAGTTATTAGTGTTGGGGAGGCCATTGTGTTGGGTGGGATAAGGATGTTGGATTAGGAGAGGAAGAAAAGTTTTGAGATTTTGTTGTGTTTGTATAACAAAGAAAGAAAGAAGCATTGGGTTTTTGCCACGTGGCCTTATCGTCTTATCTTTGTTTTGGTTTTTGGATGAGAAAGCAACCAATGATTTGTGAGATATAGATACACATCATCACGTGTCATCAAAGAATTCCAACTAGAAATTTCAATATAGAAAGATTCTATTTCGTTCACATGTATTGCTTTGTGTAATGTAATGCAACAAATGAATGAACCAAAAGGAGTTGAGCATTGTGAAACAAACGGTGGTAGTTCAGTTGGCGTATAGGAGTTGAGCATGTTGAGGGTGAGAATATGTGTTTGATTTTCTCCATTACTATCTTTGGGAGGAGTTTAAAGTCTTAATCTTGGACCCACCTCGAATCGGACTAATCACGAAGTTATGAATCAATTGAAATATTTTCAATAAAAAGAGAGAGAGGATTATGTATTTATTTATATTTTTTTAATTTTTTCTTACAAAATTTTTAACACAATGTGTATCCAATTTGAGAATCCACTAATTAAGCTAGAATAATTCATTTTTCAGTTGATCGGTGTAATTGGTGGCAAGATGGTAGAGGATTGTGAAACAAACGGTGGTAGTTAAGTTGGCGTATAGGAGTTGAGCATGTTAAGGGTAAGAGTATGTGTTCGATTTTCCTCATTATTATCTTTGGGAGAAGTTTAAAGTCTTAATCTTGGACCCGCCTCGAATCGGACTAATCGCGAAGTTATGAATCAATTGGAATATTTTCAACAAAGAGAGAGAGAGAGAGAGAGGATTATGTATTTATTTATATATTTTTAATTTTTTCTTAAAAAAATTTTAACACAATGTGTATCCAAATTGAGAATCCACTAATTAAGCTAGAATAATTCATTTTTCAGTTGATCGGTGTAATTGGTGGCAAGATGGTGTATTTCTCAAATCATTGATGTCCAAGAAATTTTGTTCAAACCTTTCTCTTTAGCTTTTTTTGGGGGGTCATCTTTCCAAACCAAGGATAAATTTTGGAAGTCAATAATGCATTTCTTCTTATTAGGGCCTGATGATAGGCCAGTGTTCTTTTTTTGGTCCTTGAATTATGGTCAAGTCTGTTAAGATGTTCCCTCGCCCTATATGTTATGGGAGAAACTAAACATGCTATAGGCTGAAGGCCCAAATAGGCTTGTTGCTTCCCCGTTAAACTTGTTGGGTCCATTCTGGAAGCACCACAAGACCCACAAACATCAGCTAAAGGATGGAAGGAGGTGTACTAAAAAAAAAAAAACAGTGGTCATGGTGGAGAAATCATATAAAACAAAATTGATTGTTCGACTATGCCTGCAATTTTTAAAATCGTGCAACTGGAATTATGAAAAAAAATTGAAATAAAGAGATTTTGAATAATTATGAAATTTAGTTTCCTATTATGATAAACAAGTTATTATTGATTTGACATGATTATATTTTGTAAAAAAATTAGTCATATTTTTTAAAAATATAAAGGGATATAATTTATGATGGTTCAAGTACAAGAGATTAGGGTTGTTTTAGCATGTGGTTCTGAATTTGATGTGCATAAAAAATATCCTTAGGAGGAGTTTTCACTAAAAAAAAATTCTACAAACACACCGAATTTTCTTAAATTCAAACTCAAATTATTCAATATGTTTTTTTTTTTTTCCATCGTAAGCAGCTCGCAGATAAGTCCTAACATAATCGATAGTTCCGATTATTTATTTGTTTTTAAGTATAGAAAGCCCTATGGTTAATTAAACTAAGACCTAAACTAGGACTCGTGAGCTCATATTAATTGATATGGCTGACCTGAACGAGACCATCTTAATTTCATTCCCCAATCCCCACTTCTCAAGTTCTATGGAGTATTATATATCACATCACCATTTATCTCATTATAAATATGTAAATGAGGTTGATGACTTCCCTTTTCTGCTACAAGCAATTATAAAAAAAAAAAACTAATTAAGGCTTGGTTTATCGGTAATGGAGCACTAACCGGATAAGGATTGTGACCAAGCAGTGACACACCCAATCTACTTAATTTCATTAAATTTCATGCTTATTTCTACTTTTCCTGATATTAAATAAGTGACGATGTATCATAAGTTCATAACAAATGAAAAGTAGATAAGAAAACATAATAAAGTTATGTGAAATTCTAATATAAAAGTATCCATTATCATATAAGAAGATCCATCATCATACCATTATCGTACGCATAGATAGTATCTCATTTATTCCGTATTCCTTATACGGTGCTAATCCTTTGCTTTTCCACTCTTGAAGTCAATATCTAAAGCTTATAGTATCACACTGGGGGAAAAAAAATTAGTATGTCATTATAAGTTCATCTTTTAGAATTACTAATGTGATTTTTAAATTAATGAATTGAATTGTTGTGTTATTATCCACACTTAAAATATGAAAACTTGAAGAGTTATGGTGGGTTTAACAAAGAAGATCAGAATCCAAATCTACCTTTATCTTTAAATTTTATTCTGAGGTTTTTTTTCAAAAATATATTGTTTATTTTTAATCTTACTATAAGAACTCGCACCGTTAATTAAAAAATTTAATTAATAAATTATGAGAAAATAGGAAATGATTTCATAATTGACTCTAATAATTATTATGAGGCTTTAATAATTATAGTAAGTGAGTAATAATGCTGAAAGTCTCTTTTCGGAAGAAAAGTGCAGATACCGGTTCTGCTAGTCGGTATAAATGCGTACCGAAAAAGTATCCCGGAAAATTAATGCAAGTGCATGATAATTACTAGAATAATATGTAGGACTTGTAAAACGAGTTTCAAGTCCAAATAATGAGAAATGGTGCTAGAAACCGGTACTGGCTTGGAAAAGCGCGTACCGGAAAGGTGCTTAGAAAATTATAAGAAAAATATGATAATTCTTGGAAAAATATGTAGTTTCAGAATCCAAAGTTTGGGATTAAAATGCTAAGCGTAGCAATTAAAGTTAATACTGTGTGTTTAATTGTTAAGTGGCTATATATAGGCTTGTTAGCACAAAGCCCTAGGCCATAACTCATCTCTACGTGAGTCTTGGGGCTGGCTAACTGCTGAGTACTGTTCCATTGTGTTCCTCTTCCATTTCTTGAGCTTCGAGGCAACTTCCTTCACAAATCCTTCTTCTAAACACTTGGTGTGGGGTAAGAGTAGCTTTGGGGCTGTGTTGTTGACCCTGTTCTATGTTGGGGTTGCTGTTTGTAAGTGTTGGAGGGGCTGTCCTCTTGAGTTGAGGTGGTGAGAGTCTTGTTCTTGGCTTGTGAAGCTCCAAGGAGCTTCCTTTGTGTGGAAAGGGCCAAGCTTTGGTAGAATTTTCGAGTACCCTTCAAGTCAGACTTGGAGAGGCAGAGTGTGGAGCTCCTAGAGCCTTTACTTCTGAGTTTTGAGCCTTGGTATGTTGTACCAACTTTTAACTTGAGTTTTAAGGCTTAAAAACGGTACCTTGATGCATCTAATGGCTAAAAGATGATAACTTGTTGTTGGGTAATGTTGAACACACCTAGAAATGCATGTTTAGGTGTTTAAAATTGGTAAAAACCCAACCTTGGAAGGATATCTTCACGAAATGCAGTTTCTGCATTCTGTCGTGAAATATCTGGATATGTGCCCGAACAATATCCGGATTTTGGATATCCGGATATGGGATTTGGACATCCGGATATGGGATTCTGGATATCCGGATATTGCATATGCGGATATGTCCAGTGAGATATCCGGATATGGCATATCCGGATATGGTCCCGAGGAATATCCGGATATTCTGGGATTTCGTAGAACAGTAGCTGTGCTGTGTGTACAGTAGGCTATTGGGGGTTTGTGAACCCTAGATTGATGAAGTTGAACTTCTGTAATTAATGAACTAAGTCAGAATCGTTGTGATTAAGGACTTATGGCTTGGTATGGAGCCTTAAGACGTAAAACGTAAGGAAAGGCGTTGTCTTTAATTTATAGGCTTGTGTTGCATTATTATTGATATAGTATTGGTCCATAACAGATTGTGAATCTACTGTGTTTGAACTTTGAGCTGTGGACTCTTGGCTTTTGGAGTTAGCTTGCAAGGTAAGCTTTCGTGTCCTCGGTTTAGCCATGTTGTGGTTCCACCATGTCTCATGGGGGTATGGTTGTATGCATGCTGTGTTACATGCTTTGTACATTTGAAATGCTGTTGAGCTTTATGTGTGATAGCTTTTAATATGCATGTGTTGTTTCATCTTGACGGTAACCTGAGTATGTAGCGTCATACGAGATGGTGATCCGGGGTGAATGCAAGTAGCGTCTTGCACTAATGTGGGTATTTAGCGTATGTAAATTCTGCATTTCTCTGGCCAGTAGAATAGAATTGACACACATGGCATGATTATCTGCTGCATTGCACTGTTTTAGAACTGATGATGATATCTGCTTTTAAACTTATATTGCACATGTAAGTGAGCTTGGGGTGGAAGATCCTTGAGGACCCCTTATCTTACTGAGATTTCTTGTTTAGAGATCTCACCCCACGTTTGGGGAATGCTTATTTCAGGTTCTGGTAGTTTGGTGACTGATGCCTCTGGTGGCAGGAGGCCAGAGCTTAGTTGATGATAGTATGTTGTTTGCTGCCATAACTGGATATGGATGCTGATTATGTTTTTCGCTATTTATGTTTATATTGTTATTAAGACTGATGTTGGGCATGTTTCCTTATTTGAGTGAGCATGGGGATTGTCCATGACACTGTATGTTAGTGGTTTTGATTTGGAGTTGTATAAACTGTTAGATGGTCCGGTCTATTTTGTTGTAGTTCCGTGACTAGAGCCACACTTTTATTATCTATGATTATGAGGTATTTCAGTTAGCTGTTTTATTGCAATTACATACAGGCGATGTTTTATTAATTGATTAATAAGCAAGTTAGTAATAATAAGGACATCATAATTGAAAAGAAAAAGATATTCCGCAATTTTAATTAAGCGCTGCTTAATACGATA